TCAGCCTTTCAAAGGGCTTCACCCAATTTAAGACCTGCAGATTCCCGTCTCTTTTCCTGTCTACATTTCTTTCTCCCTCCTTGTACTGTGCCGTTTGGGATCGTTTTGGCAAGTCCTGTTGATCTTGTCATCTGCCCATACCTCATCAATTTATGTTTCTTCATAGTGGTGAGAAGATCTTCATAGGGCCCTATAGCATGCCTGATTGTGTCCCTCACTTCCTCATTTGTAACATGATCTATGAAGGAGATGCCTAAAGATCAGTTAGTAGAATTTTTATTCTGTACGGGAATTGGACAACCCCGCCCTCCACAGTCTCTTGCTGCCTTTCAAGCCGGATCGGGAGAACCAAAGGCTAGGATGTTGACATGACATCTGAGTGTGGGCGTATGAAGCTCCTCAATGGAGTCACAGTCTGGGATGCATGATCCCAGAAGATTTTAGTCCACATGTCTTCGACCCAACCAGTTTCTTGCTGTGGTCAACAGCTTGGAGAGGGGTGGGCTCCCCAGACTTTTCTGCCCTAGATACACAGTTGACATGTACTGATGTACTAATAGAGCAGTACATAATATAATATATCAAGGCTTCAGAGGGGTGGGGCGGGGAATCGGTAGTTAAAATGTTTGTATCCTGTTTTCTCCTTGTCTATTCTGGTTGATATTTTTGGCTTGCTCAATTTTGTTCCATATAATAATTTTAAGGGTAGTAGCAAAGAAGTAGTCATTCATTAGTTGCGGTTTTAAACGCCAGTGCAGGGAAGGAACGATTAGTTCCACCAAAACAGGGAAAAAAGGCTCTCATCTATATTATTTTCCTCCTGTGACCACTGACCATTTTTCCATCTGGTCCTTCTACTACTGGTGTCTGAATTCCTCCCCACCGGCGCTTTGGTGTAGCTGTTAGGAGCTTCGCCAGGATACGCAGGAGGCCGAGTTCAATTCTACAGTGGACAGAATACGAGAATTTTTATCAAGTGTCTCGGTTTTTCTGCTGGGATGCTGTATCCCCCTCAGCAGAGCTCGTTCCTAAAAGATAGGGTGGAAGACCGCCTCCTAAATCATTCAAATCGTGACGAAGGGTAGGTAAAATCTCTGCTTTTTTCCGTGAAAAATAAAGGTCACTTTTGTGTCTTTCTAGATAAAAGACGAGTAATTATTTGGGTGTTCTTCTCAGTAAAAAATTATCGTCGTTCTTTGTATGTTTGTCACGGTAAGAGATCAGTCATTCTTTAAATGTTTTACTCAGTTGACGCTATCGTCGTTTGTTTTGTTTGGTTTTTTTTGTTGGTTTTTTTTGCATGTTTTTCCCATAAATAAGCAATGAGTCATTCTTTGAATGTTCTTCTCAATGAGAATCTATCGCCACTCTTTCGTTGTTCTTTGAACTCAATCTCTCTTCTTTCTGCATCCCAGGGGGTACTCAGGCTACCTTCAGAAGGTTCCAGAAACTGTTCTCTGGTCTTCAAACACCAGCCAAATCAAGGACTGCACGAGACATCGACACTAGACGAGTGGCCTTGACGGTAGCTGCCGTGCCTGGGCAGGACCAAGACCAACAGCGACTACTTCTTCTGCAGCAACGACAACAAGAGGACCAACGGCTCTTTCTGCAACAGCAACAGCAGCAGTACAACCCAGGTCAACTGCTGTTTCCACAGCAGCAACCATACAACCCAGGTCAACTGCTGCTACCACAACAGCGACCATACAATCCTGGTCAACTGCTGCTACCACAACAACAACCATACAGCCCCGGTCAACTGCTGCTTCCACAGCGGCAACCATACAACCCAGGTCGACTGCTGCTTCAACAGCAACCATACAACCAAGGTCAACTGCTGCTGCAACAACAAGACAACCAAGATCAACTGCTGCTACAGCAGCAGCAAGATTTGCCACGAGAACAGACGCGACAACGGCAACAGCGGCAACAGCAAGAGCAGGAATTAAAGCCGCAATAGCGACAGCAGCCACTTTGTTCGTTTGAGCAAAGAAAAGCACATCGAAACAAAAACAATCGTATTGTGCTGGGAACGAGAAAGACATACACACAGAAACACAGAGGGAACGAAAGAAGTTAAACCTACCACTTGTGGCACCCTCAAAAAGCAGCCATAACAATCGCAACAAAACAACGTCAACAAAACAACGTCAACAGAAACAACAACTTTCAAACTGACCAAAAGCTACTCTTGTACAGCCGGACCACGTTGGTTAACCCCCGAGGTTCGGATACTCGACCATAGACCGAAGTCCTTTAACACCCTTCAGTGAACTACCCTAGACTGAAATATAAAGGGTCAAGGGTTCATTTAGCCAAAAACAAAAATGGAGTTCTTAATTTGACGACGCACATGAAAGTGGTTGTACAATATAGAATTTGAATTTAATGACTGGGTGGCTTTAAATCAATGTTGTGGCTTATAAAGATTGCCTAATTTGCCTCCAAATTGTTCTGACCACTTCAAGTCCTTGATGCGGTTTCGATGTACATGTACTTGGTAAACCTACAAACTGTTCCCTCACTCCAAAGTTCAGTAGCAGTCAAAAATTCGGGAGGAAATGCAGACGTTGTTGGTAATATTAGGCTTCTAATAATTGTTGTAATTAATGGTTCACAACCGCCGGATTTTGACTTTTTTTATCATGATCTTCTGTATTGCTTTTGTGGACTTTGTAATCTCATAACCAAATGTACAAAAAAAATGAAGATTAAATACATTCAAAAGCTTATAAAGATCTAGGATATATATGTATAATTATTTCTTTTGACAAATGTCCTACAGAAACAAAAGGAATTCAAATCGCTAAAGACAGTTTTAACAGAACTGAGCACAGTTCTACAAGATAAAAAATATCTCAATGACAATAAAACTGAAACTCTGAAATGGCTTTGAGTAATCAACCTTTCTTTTCGGTTGTGAAAGCTGGATATTTACTCCAGTTTAGAGGCAACAGAGACACAGCTTTTGAAAAGACAATATTATCATGACAAGAAGTAAGAAATTCAGGAGAAGAAAAAAAAAAGAAATCAAATGAGATAAGAATGAAAAAGTACTTAAACAAAGTGCCTTTATAGTTACATTTAATGGTTCAAATGAGGTAGTGCCAACAGAAGCCAACTGAGGACTGTAACAAGTCGTAATAAAAATATAAGTAAGAAGACACAAACACAATTCCTAAGATACTAGAAACGCTAAAGAAGCCTTGAACATCTCGCACTCTCTAAAAAAAATAGAAGGCAAAAGGGGCAGACCAAAAATAAATTGCTTAGAGAACTTTGATAGACGGGCAATGAGAAAAGACCAGGATCGTATTGGTTCTCTTAGGGCATCCGGGCAGAGAAATGAGTGGCGAACAGTGTAAACTGGGGCATGTTTCAGTTCGTGATTGTTTTCGGTTTGGTAAGTGCATAAGGTCATATGAGCCCGTGGGGCACATTATACAGTTTCAGTTTTTGGTAAGAATTCATTTTGAATTTTGCCCGGGTTGCGGCCGAAGCCTACGCTACCGATTTCGGACCACCAAGGGTTCTTTAACGATCAGAACTTGCACACGGGACCTCCGACATTGTTCTCCCTTATCCGAGTAGGCTAGTTGTGAGATTTTACCTACCGTAAGATCAGAAATGTGGCTGAAAGACAGCAGTAAAAAAGAGCCAAGGATTAGCAGCAGAAAGGCTGCAAAAAGGGTCAGGAGCCCAGAGGACGGGGCAAAGGGGGAAAGGGGGGGGGGAGACAGAAAGTGGAGACGGAAGCAGACGAAGAAACATGGTTGGAGAGAAGGAAAAGGGGGTGAAAGAAGAAATTATTAGAGAAAAAAATTTTCCGTCGCTGCAAGGTTTCGAACCCGGGACCTATTGAATGAGAGGCGAACCATGTAATCTCTAGACCACGAGAGAAGAAGAAGAAGAAGAAGAAGAAGAAGAAGAAGAAGAAGAAGAAGAAGAAGAAAAAGGGGGAGGAGAAGGTGTGGTTATGTAAACCACTCGTTCTTCGTTCACTTTCACAGTTCAAATAAACATGGACCACACAGAAATGTACAAATGAAGTAATGAAGCTGTAATTTTGATCAAATTAATTTGACAGTGTGACGTTTAATGATTTTTTTAAAATAATATAATAATATGCATTACAGCGTTCACCAACTCGTACAATATTCATACATGTCTTATCACTTTGCAAGCAGGGTGTAGACAATGGTGGCTCATTTGCCTTTTGTTCTGTTAAGTGTTTTATGTCCCTCGCAACTGAATAAGATCATATGAGCGCGCGGGACACATTGAATTTGGTAGGAATTTTGAATTTTGCCCGGGTGGCGGCCAAACCCTACGCTTGCCGATTTTAGGACCACCAAGGGATCTTTAACGTGCGCAACTTTCAAACGGGACCTCCGAGATTTTTTGCACTCATCCTAGGAAAACTAAATAAATGTTATTAAAATGTGCTAGTGACGACATCTGAATGAGTATGCTTTTAATACGGTCCTTAGGGTGGGGGGAGGGGAGTGTATGTGGTATAAAAAAGATTAGGCGCTAAGATTGTTCTAAAAGACGAATAAAAATTAACCCAAATTAGTCATCCTGTTTTCCATCTTCTTTACCTTCCATAACTTATTATTTTTACGTGTTTCCCTCGTGTCTCTGGCTTTGGGAACCACGGAGGAGCTATTGTGATGCTGCCTTTTCGGCGACACTGAGATTCCATATATATATATATATATATATATATATATAAAATCATGTAATCTTCGATCTTTTTGTAGCAACATTTTCTACTGGGATAATCCTAGCCTACAAAAAGAAAGGTGTGGCGGACCCAAACAATGCTTAATTTTATGCCACATGGTTAGGGTTACGGTTTGGTTTAGCGTTAAGTTTAGGGATAAGTTTAGGGTTTCAACATCATCCGATTGTTTTCAACATCATTCGGTTTTCGAGCCTTTAGGCACACAAAATGTAAAATTAGCTCCATCAGTATCATACTATGACATCAGGTGTTGATTCTGGCTGTATCTATTTTTATTATTTTCATCGTACATGGTAGGTCAAAGACCAAAGAACAACGACCAACGCCTATAACTGTATGTTTGTAATAATCATACAGTAGGCGTTGACGAAGACCAAAGCAATAGCTCCTCCACATTCCACAGTCGGTCCTCCCTCCGGGTCTATCCGTGTCTGTCGTGAGTGTAGCTGTTGCTGCAGTACCGCTCACTGTAGCCCACACAGGCGGCATACTCCATGATGTGGTACAAGTAGTTCTGTTCTTGCGTGCCGTGTAGGAGGTGAGCCATGGGACCCACGGCGTACGCTGCCACGTCCTCGCCGGCGTGAGTCTCCACGCCCAGGGGAACACAGCCGGGCTGCCGGTAGTCCGGAGAGTCTCAAGTGTCCAGTATTTAAGGGGAGAGATTGGGGGGTGGAGGGGAGGGTGGAGGGGGGAGAGAAAATATTTAGTTTTGTGTGTAGTAAGAGTTTTACAGTACAAACAGTATAACGTCCTTATGGCTGAATTTTATTTATTCGAAGTGTTATTGAAATTGGTCCAAAGATAACATAGTTATTGCCCTTTAAATAGGCCCTCTTTTTAATTTAGACACCCGGTTCTAATTGCAACACAATGTTATGTATCAATCACTCAAAGCGAGAAAGGGGTAGAGGGAAAGAGAAAGTTTCGTTTTATGTGTCGAAAGAGTTTCATTACACTTCCAACACAATGTTATGAGTCGTCTGAGTGCCCAAGTGTCTGTTTCTCAAAGGAAGAGTGGGTGAGGAGAAGAAAAAGTTCAGTTTCATACGCAGTAGAATTTTGCAGCACAAATTGCAACACAAAAAGAGTGTTACAACACAATGTTGAAGGTCGTATGAGGGCCCAAATATTGATTACTCAGAGGGAGAAGGGGTGAGAGGGATAGAAAAAGTTTAGTTCTACAGGTGGTAGGAGTTTTATCGCTCTACTGTACAGGTGTCCTTCCAGCTGAATAGCTGGCATGCCTTTTTACTTGTGTCAACTGGTCACTTTTAAGCACAATGGGACTATCTCTAAAAATGCTGTTTTGAGAAAATCGAAGGTGAAGTTTTTGCCCCGTGTTTAGTTTTTTAAAAGACAAGGAGAGTTTTCTCTATAACCAAACAAATATACACACAATAAGAAACCAAACTTTTTCTATAGGTAGGGTAATGTTCATTTTTGGCGAAGTTCAAGATTTCTGGAAACCCCTGAAATCTGGGTTAGCCCGCTTGTCCTTAAAAGCGACCAACTATCTGTATATCCATCGTGTTGTTGAGTTGCAGTCCACACAGTCGCAGTGTGACGTAGTTGTTAGTATAAGGGGGTATAGTGGTTTATTTAGCCTCAGATTTTCAGTTAGCTCTAGCACCAGATGTAAATATGAAAATCAGAATGTCAAAATTATTTTGCACAATATATTCACGTTTGTAACGATACACGAATGGTGTCTTTTGCCGGCGGGCTGTGTGTCATAAATTGTGTTTATCCCTTTGGCTTGAGATTATAAAGGCTGGTCGCCACTGTGTTGTCACACGCCATGACACATGTTAAACAGCCATGTGTTTAGCTGATCGACTTGTTTGGTCTGTTTTGTCTTGGGTGCCTGCGGGGGGGGGGGCGGTGGCGGCGAATATTTGTAATCGAACAGTGCCAGCATATTCAAGCAAAATCTGATATTTGCCCTGATATGGGATTCGTTCCCAAGTGTACTGTTGGGTGACCGTTGAAATTTTTAGGTTTGCAAGTGTGATGGTGCGGTGCCGTTTAAAGATTGTAGGTTCGCAAGTGTAATACACACCCTCCAAAAGAAGCATCTGTCTGAGCCGGCCGCGTTCCTTCTCGACAGTGGATGGCAGCTTTGACAATTCTGACTATACATGTAATATAATCATTACCTGTTTCGACCCCTGTGACGTCATGTCTGCCAGAGAAGGGACCGTTGGTGTAGCCCAGGGTCGTATAGGGTAAACCGTCCAAGGGAACACTGTTGGAGTCTGGTGCAGTTACACCTGGGATGTGGGATAACGCAATCTTAACACATGAGGGGGACTTGGGATGTATATTATAACAATAATTTAAAAACGAAAGCAAAAAGCTCTAAATAAACAATACTTTAAAATACGTCAGAAGAACGGTAGACACACGAGCCGTACAGTATGCTGCCAATACAGAGTGTACATCTTACGATAATCGGGCTAGAAAACAACAGAGAGATCGAAAAAAAATGAACACAATTGTGTTCACTAAAACATAATTAGTTAATTAAAGGGGAAGACCTCCAGTTTTAACGTCAATGTCAAATAGGATGGGACTGAGTCAAATGGGAAAATTCGTGTAAAGTGCTTCTCTAAGGTCACAAAGTTGGAGTGAACTAAGCATCAAACCCCCGAACCCACAACTCGCGATTACACCTCTGGTAGCCTAATACGGGGTGCCCACTACGGATGGGATCGGCGTGTTTGTTTTCAGTTTCAGGCGATCGAGTCGGGCGATCGGCCCGATCCAGCCGTAGTGGGCACCCGGTATAAGACCACCCGGCAACCGACACCACCAAAGAAACGAGCAACATCAACACACAGAACAAAACCTGAAGAAACTCTCCTCACCGAGTATGTCGTGCCCGCGAGGGGCGTAGCCCTGGATGGAGAAGGCGTGGCTATGGTCAGCTGTCACCAGGATAAGCGTGTCTCGCCTGCTCGTCCTAAGGAACGCCCTCTCCACCGCCTCGTCCATCGCGATTGTCTCATGAATAGCCGTGTAGGCGGAGTTTACGTGGTGGCCCCAGTCGATGCGAGCGCCTGATTGGGCAGTCGAGAAATTGGCAATATTATTGTAATAAAAACAACAATCATCATCATCATCATCATCATCATCATCATCATCATCATCATCATCATCATCATCATCATCATCATCATCATCATCATTCCATTTATATGGCGTATAATTTTATCCATACCCTACAATTATTATGCTTTCTGCTCGTTATAACTATTATTACTCCTTGTATCCTTGGACCATATTATGCTGACCTCCTCACTCTGGTCAGGAAACGCAAACTGCAATTGTATGGACATGTCACCGGTTCATCCAGCCTTTCTAAGATGATCCTGCAAGGCAGCGTCCAGGGAAAAGGAAGTAGAGGCAGACCGAAGAAGAGTTGGGAGGACAACATCAAGGAATGGACAGGCCTGGAACTCAAAGACACGTTCAGTAAAGCTGAAGACCTGAAGGAGTGGAGGAAGCTGGTGGCCAAATCTTCAATACCGCCCAGACGGACATCCAGTCTACGGGATAGGTGAGGTTGGTGAAGGTGAAGGTATCAAAATTGGGACAGAAGAGTCGCGCATACGTTAGATTCCAGACATCACCATGAAACGGGTTATGTGTGTGGGAAAGGTACTTTAACTTGTTAATGTTGTGGTTCTTGTTGTTCTTGTTATTGCTGATGCTGTTGTCGTTGCCGTTGTTGTCGTAGTCTTTTTCTTGGGACAGCTGTAAAAGCACGTGCGAGGAGAGCGCCACAGATACGTCCATCTTCTTTACTTTCTGTCTGTTTGTCTTGCTTTTCCTTTGTACTAAATGAGCGCTATCGCATCGATATGCTTCTCTTTACTCATATAACCTGTTCCTGTTGCCGCCTTGATGTTACCAGACTTCACCACTTTTCCTCTGTTCTGCCAACCACACTTTCCAACCTTTCCTCTCATCTGCCGACCAGACTGTTCCAGTTCTTTACCAGACCATTCCAATTTTATTTTATTTTCTTACCCGACTGTACTTTTCTCATGTTCTGCCTACCAGACTGTACTTTTACTCTCTGCCTACCATACTTTTACCACCTTCCTCTGTGTGCCCATATACAAAAGAGATACTCGGCAATAATTTGCAGAGACACCATCGGAATTGTTTCTATAGACATTTAGAACTAATAAATCTGCTATGATAATTTACTAGTAACTCCATCAAGCGCTCACTTTTTTCTCTAGTTCTCTCTTGACCATGTTCTCTAGATTTGAGTAAAATATTACTCAATCATGTCACTCATTCTTCAAGTACATCCCTATCAAGCACTCACCTTCAACCATTAGGAAATAGCCTCTATTGTCTTTTTCCAAGACCTGAAAAGTTCAACACAAAATCGTTTGATCTTAAATTTAGAGACAGGCGGTCTTTCGGATAGTCAGTGAGAGGGTTGTGGAGAGAGAGAGCGAGA